ACCTCTTCGACGACGACGACCAAAAAATATTTTTTGGGCTGTTTGCGACATTGAACGCAAAACTTTCACACAAGGTGCTGTTGACCAAGCCGAGCCCATTGCTCTATTAAAAACCACACGTTTCATTGTAAAGTTTGGAGATACAGGCACGTTTATGTTTTACCTATGCTGTAAGCGTGATGGAGTTGCTTTTTCCTAGTGGATGGTGTCGGCTGCATTAAGGGAAAGATGAAGAGCTGAGTGAAACCGCACGTGGTGGTTACACAGACACATCCTTGACAGGTTGCTACACAAATGGATGATGATGATGATGATTGCCTTTTGTGAAGGTACGCAAGTAAACAGCATCCAATAATAAAGGTATGTATCAAGGTACGGGTATATCACATTTGCATGTAGGAGAAGGTCGAGCTGCATAAACCAATTTGTATTATGTATGTAAACCTACCAGTAACCAATCCAATGATGGCTCAATGCACGGATCGCTTCACTTTTTCTCTTCTCAAGGTCATACCATTCCTCCTTATTGTATAACAAAAGCCATATGCTTCTTGCATGACCTATAAACGGAACCAGTTTTATTATTCCATCTTCGAAGCGACAATAGTATGTAATCCACAAGCTAGCAAAATCCAAGCGTGTAATAAATAAACAATGCTTTATTTCATCTAGCTATCTTGCTGCATTGCCGCCATCGTGGTCTCCCTCGTCCATCATATTCCTACTCGTACTCGTAGGCTATGATCTTGTGGACCAGTAAGCTTTAGCGAATGTAGCAGTGTTATGTCAAAAGAAGGGAAGCATCTTGATACGATTATGTAAATGATCCAATCTCGTTTCCCGACCTTCAAATTTCTATGTATCCGCCTTCTAATGGAGAAACCACCCAAGTGGTCCACATCTTGTACGTACGAGCTGATAGTACGATACCCTTATGAAGTCCAATCCAATTCCATCATTCAATGAAGTCAAAGAGTAGCACATGGTAGTGAGGATGTTTATCGAGCAAATGTCATAAAGTGCAGCATTAAATAAAAGCGGGTGGGTTACATAGAGTGAACAGGGGTAATTGTGGCATCGTATTCATGATCGTTGCTGCCATAACCATCCTTCATCCATGATTGCAAAGTAGCTTCTGCATGCATTGAATCGAGTACTCCAATACCATCCATGGCTGTACAACACCTTTTGTCAAAGATCTAGGCCCGTTCCTCAATCCCATCCAATCCATCATCATCCTCAGCCGTATTCACGTGGTAAAATCCATCCTTCCTGCTGACGGCGTGCCAAGTAACGAAACCCAGATTCCAGGATTACCCATCACTGCGCTTGATTGCATCCATCCATCCATAGCCAATGCAAGTCCAACATGTTGATTGAAAGAGCCATGTGATCGCTGCTGATATGCATCCTTTGCCACCTATCGGTTGACCAATCTCTTGCTTTGTCGTTTTCCATCGCAACCCAACCAGGTGACGATATAAAACATGTCGTATACTTGAAGATTGCTTGGATTGACGCGTACTTGAGAACACCAGTGGTTGTCATATATAGATAGCATCCTCCTTCTCGATCATCGCGCCGTATGCTTTACTAAATGATCCTTATTGTTAATCATCATTGTTTGATCGATAACCCATCCATTTTCTTTTCTACCTTGATCAATTGATGAATGATAATAGAAGTCCTTGGTAGTAGCGTGCTATCGGATGATGGTGCGTGTTTTAGGTACATGAAGCGGTAATGGTAATGCCTGGATCCCATGGTCGTTTTGTGATGGATAAAGCTGATCAACATGTTGTTGCAGTGTCACTCAAGAAGATGCATCCTGAAACTGTTTGCTTGTTGTCGACAACCTTGAAAAAGAACTCCAGCTTTAGTCTCCTTGTTTGTTCGTTGCACACCGTGTAAAGAATGAGTGCCAAAGTTGACATGTAGACGCTGTCATCGTTTGAGAATAAGTCGCTGCAAGGAAGTTGCTGTGGATGTCAATGCGCAATGGAAGGAAAAAGAAGAGTATGTCGACGTGAAAGAGAGAGCGCCGAATTTTACTTTGGCCCAACATGCCATTTTCACTGCCTACGCGTGACACGACTCCCCATCCAGCCAATAATGCAAGAGCACTGATTACGATCACGTATGTCGTCAATCCTAGCTTCGGCTTCACCTTTTCGCTTTTACCATATTATTCCACTTGGACCCTCGCACACCACAACGAATGACCGTGGAGGAGAACATTGTCTGGTCCCGGATACTAAAGGACATCGTCGTCACGGCTCAACATGGTAATGATGGCAACCAAATTGTAGCAGCAACCAAGACTTTGCAGCAAACAGCCCACCAATTCGCCAAGGTGCTCAATGAACGTGCGAGACTCTTAGCCAACAGTGCCCAGTTTGATGCAGCGTTACATGATGCAGCAGCCATAAGAGCCATGATACCGAGATCAGGGATTGGATATTTGTGTACAGGAGACGTGTATTGTCAACAAGGCAATCATGCAGCAGCAATTGTCATATACCACCGAGGGCTTAAATCAGTGCCAAAATCAGATGCCTGTTACCAGCAACTCCAACAACATCGAAAGGATGCAATAGCCAACAACAACAAACGCGTGGATTTTGTCAGCCGGTTGCCATTGGATATTGTTGTTACCAACATTGCACCAAGGTTGGAGCCATATCACTACGAGCGGAGTGAGCACCACGAGCCTCTTTATGTATCACGTGCATGGCGGAAGCGTTTCCTTCAGCAACCTAACGGCTTGATCTTTGGTTTTGGCGAGGAGAGCGAGACATTTGCGAGAGGACATACAGAACTTGTTCGGTTTGCACCCTATGTACAGCTGTTATCAGGCTCTTTCTCTGACGATGTGCGGTTGGATGATCTCTTTAAACGAGCACGGTTTTCAAATCTAAAGAGATTAGAGATAACCGGTAAGTATGGGTGGCAGGGTACGTGCATGTGTATGTGTCATGGATTCGAATCTTTCTATTAGGTGATGAAACGTCCCCTCGTCTTCCATTGGTCAATGGTCTTCGCCTGATTGCCTGTACGCTGACGCACTTGTCCATTAAGGTCTACCCTAGTGTTCAGTTACGTGACATTCTGGAAACATGTCCAAACCTTGTATTTCTGGATGCAGAGAATGTGGATTGTGTTATGCCTTCATCGCCTTCATCACGTTATCCCAAGATTACGCACCTAGCAATCCACGAGATGCCCGAAGAAGATCGCAGCCATGATAATGTCATTGATATCCTCAGCCGATTTCCTTCTTTATTGTCATTCGAGATTACACCAATGCCCGACTCTGGTGTCTTGACGGTTCTACGCAATTATTTCCCATATTTGCAGGTGCTTTATTTCGGAGACAAGAATCATAGCCAAGAGAAAAAAGATGTTCGACCCAACGGACGAAAAGGAGTGATATCGGCTCATTTGGGAGGATCGGGTGGCAACGACTATAGGCGCGATGACCTACTTCAATTCTTGCATTTGAATCGAAATTCATTGGAAGAGCTTGAGTTTTGCGGCGACATTGATGATGATGACTCTTTTTGGAAATTGGAGAATGGAAAAGTGATACAACAGAGGGATAATCAATATTCACCTTTACGTTCTGGCGATGATGATGATCCAACCCAAACTGGCACTTCATTCATGCGGCTAGGTAGCATTGAATTTACGGGCGCTGAACCGGATGCATGCAGTCCTTTTATCACATGGTTGATATCGAACGCTCCCAATCTGAAAACCACCCTCCTCAACCAATCCTATATCCAGTCCAACGTTGCAAACGCCATGATTCAGTCAAAGCGTCTTTCCAAGTTAACGCTCTATGAGAGGTCGGCAGATGATGAGGATTATGAAGGCATGATTCAGTTCTTGCAGCACCATATTGAGATGGGGGATCAATCAACACTTGAAGAAATTATCACTTACAAGATATCACCTGAAATGGCGTGGATACCATTAGCTACGAGGCTAAAACGTCTAAAGAAGCTCAAATTTCTCGCTAGTGACATTTCCGAAGATTGCATCCCCCTCATGGAACAGATAGGCCAAGGCTGCCCCGCTCTCAAAAAGTTAATTCTTGGCATGCCTTATGCTGAGTTACCTGATGGTCTTTTGGAGCCTTTGTATGGACATCCGAGTCTTGAAATCCTTAAGATTGGAACTAGATCTTTATCTGCCAACTACGCTATTACTTTGTGTACATTCAAGAATTTAAAATCACTCGAACTTGAATGCGATGTTTCAGGTGATATACTTGACCTATTAGAATACCATCTACCAAAAGTCGAGCTTTATCCTGACCCATGGAGGTAGTGCATATGTATGTAGATACCTCATAATAAAGTCAAGATCTCTTTTAATTCCACGATTGAACCTTTGGATGAGAATCAACTGCATTCTTAATTATAGCATTGCTTTCGCTGTTATCACATGTAGGTATATTGTAGGCGATCCACCAACTGAAGTTGGTTGTTTATTTCAGCTAAAAAAGTCAATTGAAAGACAATGAGTGCTAGGGTGTCCATCTTTTGCCATACTTTGATACTTTATTATGTAACAAGCCTTAATTGGAGCATATGTAAGATTACATTTATATACGTGATCACTGAAAGCATTATCGACCATCATCTTCGTGTGTGCTCCAAAGTGTGTGTAACCTCAAACAAGTCCGTTTGCATTGACCACGCTCATCCTTGGAACTCCATTCTTTGCTTCAACTCCTTCCCACCACTCAAGCTTGCACACCACAATGAATGACCATGGATGACAACATTAGCTGATCCGAATTGCTGAAGCACCCCTTCGTCACGGCTTGAGCATTCCAATGGCAAGAACCCAATTGCAGCGGCAGCCAAGACTCTACAACAACGACACGCCAACTCGTCAAGGTGCTCGATGAACGTACCATGCTTTTAGCCAACAGTGTTCAGTTTGATACAGCCTTACATGATGCATCAGCCATAAGGACCATATTACCAGGATCAGGGCTTGGATACTTGTGTACAGGAGATGTGTATTGTCAATAAGGCCATCATGCAGCAGCGATTTCCGTATACGATCAAGGCCTTCAAGCAGTACCTGAATCGGATCCATATCATCCACAACTACAACAAAAGCGGGATGGTAGCAATATCCAATAGCATCAAACGTGTCGACTTTATCAGCCAGCTTCCATTGGAAATCGTCATCACCAACATATACTAAGGATGCAGCCCAAGTTCTATTCCGAATCATCTTGCAAGTTCCTTTACATATCACGTGCATGGCAGAAGCGCATCTTGCAGCAATTCCACGGGCTTACGGTTCTCTTTTGGCGAAGAAGCCAACACATTCAAAAGGGTCATGCACAACTCATCCGATTTGCACCCCCATGTCCAGACCTTGTATTGTTCTCTCTTGGACGTTCGTTTGGATGATCTCTTTTCCCAAGGACACCTTTCCAATGTAAAAGAACTCAGTTTATTCTGTAAGTGTGGATGATGGTCTATCACGTGGCATGATGATGGAAACGAAAAATGCTTATATTATTAGGTGGTCCTACAACGCCTTGCCTTTGATTGTTCCATGGATTACAAATGATGGGTGATTCACTTACTCACTTGGCCATCGATCAGTGCCCTTGTCTTCAATTACATGACATCATGCAAACGTGTCCCAATCTTGTATTGCTGAAAACAATGGATGTAGATAAAGTGATGCCTTTATTATCATCATCAATTTGTCCCAAGATGAAGCAACTTGCACTTTACCAACAGCCAGAACGACAATGCAAACATGAGAGTATGGTCGATGTCCTAAGACGATTTCCTTCTTTGGGGTGCTTGAAATTACGCCAATGCCTGATTTCAGTCTCTTGCCAATCCTACACGAACATTGCTCTTATCTTCAGGTCTTTTATTATGGTTCCTCAGACACCGTTGACGTTCGACCAAATCGGAAAGGGGTCACTTTGGCTTACATGAGAGTGTATGAAGGCGATGTCTTTATGCAAGATCATCCGTATAAGAGTTGACGCGTTCGTTTCAGAGAACTTTTTAGATAGCTTTGTATAAATGCCAATCGATCTTCCCAATAAAGCCATTTGATGTGGTATCACATGCACGATTAATACTATATGCCGTATTGGGGTGAGGAAAATTGTGCGCCATTCATTTGCCCAATGCGGGAATTTGGGGCGTTGCCATGGATACCTGACAACATGTAGTAATGCAAGCTGGGTTGACACACAAGCCGGTATGTATGAATCAGGAGAAGACATTCTCGTCCTCGAATGATGTTACAAATGAATATGATTTTATGCAGATAGCTTTCCATACTATCATGTCTAGCTAACTACATCGTTTGGAGGTTGAGTTGCTTTGTGTTGAAATTCCACCTACAAGTCATGATTTACTTCAACTTCACCGCTTCGCTTTTACCACTATTATTCCATTAAGTCCCTCACACGCCACAACAGATGACCGTGGAAGAGAACATTGCATGGTCCGAATTACTGAAAGACACCATCGTCACGTCTCAACATGGTAATGATGGCGACCGAATCGTAGCAGCAACCAAGACTTTGCAGCAAGCAGCCCACGAATTCGTCAAGGTGCTGAATGAACGTGCCACGCTTTTAGCCAACAGTGCTCAATTTGATACAGCGTTACGTGATGCAGCAGCCATAAGAGCCATATTACCGGGATCAGGAATTGGATACTTGTGTATGGGAGACGTGCACTGTCAACAAGGTCATCATGCAGCAGCGATTGCCATATATGACAAAGGCCTTCAAGCAGTACCCGAATCCGATCTATATTATCAGCAGCTTCAGCAACATCGAGTGACAGCAATAGCCAACAACAGCAAACGTGTCGATTTCATCAGCCGGCTACCATTGGATATCGTCATCACCAATATTGTACCAAGGATGGAGCCAGCATACATAAGATCTAATGAGCAATACGAGCCTCTTTATGTATCACGTGGGTGGCGGAAGCGTATCTTACAGTGTCCTCACGGCTTGACTTTTGATGTTGGCCAAGAGAGTGAGACATTTGTGAGAGGTCATGATCAACTTATCCGCTTCGCACCCTATGTACAGACGTTATCAGGATGTATCTATGAGGATGTACGAATGGATGATCTCTTTAATCGAGCACGGTTTTCCAATCTAAAACACCTAGATTTAAGCGGTAAGTATCAATCGGTGTACGTGTATGTGTCATGAATTCGAACCGTTTTATTAGGTGATGATACAAGCCCTCGTGTTCCTTTAATCAATGGTCTTCGGTTGATTGCTGATACGCTGACGCACTTGGAAATTCAACTCTACCCTGATATTCAGTTACGTGACGTTCTGGAAACATGTCCAAACCTTGTATCGCTGGATGCAAAGGATGTCGATTTTGTTATGCCTTCATCGCCTTCGTTACGTTATCCCAAGATCACGCACCTAGCAATCCACGAGATGTCTGAAAGAGCTCGCAGCTATGTTAACATGATTGATCTCCTCAGCCGGTTTCCTTCTTTGTTGTCATTCGTGATTACGCCAATGCCCGGCTCCGGTCTCTTGACGGTTCTACACAAGTATTTCCCATATCTTCAGGTCCTTTATTTTGGAGAGAGGGTCTATGGCGAAGACAATATTGATGTTCGTCCCAATGGAAGAAAAGGAATCGTATCGGCTTATTTGGGAGGATTCGAGGCCAACATCAACACCTACAGGCATGATGACCTAGTTCAATTCTTGCATTTGAATCGAAACACTTTGGAGGAGCTTGAGTTTGAAGGCGACATTGATGATGGCAACTCTTTTTGGAAATTGGAGAATGGAAAAGTGATACAACAGAGGGATAATCAACATTCACCTTTACGTTCTGGAGACGATGACCCAACCCAAACTGGCACCTCATTCATGAAGCTTGGCAGGATTGATTTTTCGGGCGCTGAACCAGATGTATGCGGTAGTCTTATCACATGGTTGATATCGAACGCTCCCAATCTCAAAGCTACCAGCCTCAATCAATCCTATATTCAGTCCAACGTTGCAAACTCCATGATTCAGTTGAAGCATCTTTCCAAGTTGGAGATCCATCGGACCCCGACAGTGGATGATTTTGAAGGCATCATTCAGTTTTTTCAGCATCACATTGAGATGGGGGATCAATCAGCACTTGAAGAAATCGTCACTTACAAGATATCACCTGGGATAGCGTGGATGCCGTTGATTCCTAGACTGAAACGTCTTAAGAAGCTCAAATTTCTCGTCAACGCCATTCATGACAATTGTATCCCCCTCATGGATGAGATGGCTCAAGGTTGTCCTGCTCTCGAAAAGTTAATTCTTGGTTTACCTGAAGCTGAGTTACCTGATGATGTTTTGAAGCCTTGGCGTAGACACCAGAATCTCAAATGCCTTAAGTTTGGAGCCGAATCCTTAACAGCCAACGATGCTATTACTTTGTGTACATTCAGCAACTTAAAAACGCTCCAACTTGAATGCGATGCTTCAGATGATTTGCTAGAGGTGCTGCGAAACCATATACCAAAAATCGAGCTTTACCCTGGACCATAATAGTGCATACGATGTATGTGTGTAGGTATCTCATAATAAAACCAATACCTTTTTTAATTCCATGATTGTGGATTTACATGAGCATCAGCTACATTCTTTATATACTACCTCCTGGATTATGTATGCATGTGGAATCGTGCAAATGTGTGTGTTACATAAAACTGGATGATAGGGATGGCTTCTTTGACACATGGTGCCGTTCGTTACTTCGAGGGCTCTTCCAATGATTCAACCTCTTGTGAGCGCCGTTTGTCAACAACCCATACTTTGATACTTTATTATGGAACAAGCCATAATTCTACATGTGTAAGATTACATTTATATACGTTATCACTGAAAGCATTATTGATCACCATCTTGGTGGGAGTGCGCTCCAATGTGTGTGTAACCTCAGATTAAGAACCCATTTGCATTGACCACACTCATTCTTGGATCTCCCTTCTTTGCTTTTACTCCTTCGCACCACTCAACCTCATACACCACAACGAATGACCATGGAAGACAACATTAGCTGGTCCCAATTGCTGAAGCACTCCATTGTCACGGCTGAACATTCCAATGGCAAGAACCGAATTGCAGCGACAACTGAGACTCTACAGCAAACAGTGCAGCTATTGGTCGAGGTGCTCAATGAACGTGCCAAGCTTTTAGCCAACAGTGCTCAATTTGAAGCGGCTTTACGTGATTCAGCAGCCATACGAGCCTTATTACCAGGATCAGGACTTGGATATATGTGTATGGGAGACGTGTATTGTCAACAAGGCCATCATGCAGCAGCCATTTCCATATATGATCAAGGCCTTCAAGCAGTACCTGAATCGGATCCATGTTATCAACAGCTTCAGCAACAACGCATGAAAGCAGTAGCCAACAACGACAAACGCATCGATTTTATCAGCCAATTGCCATTGGATGTTGTCATCACCAACATTGTGCCAAGGATGGAGCCAGCATACTTGGAGTCTGATGTGTTGTATGAGCCTCTTTACGTATCACGTTCATGGCAGGAGAGCCTTTTGCAGCAACCCAAGGGCTTATGGTTCACCTTTGACCAAGACCAAGGTGTTGATACATTCAAAACGGGCCATGCACAGCTCATCCGATTTGCGCCCTATGTTCAGTACTTGGAGGGCAATCTCTTCGATGTTGATTTGGATGATCTCTTTTCTCGAGCCCACTTTTCCAATCTAAAAGAACTCGATCTACTCTGTAAGTGGTGGGAATGATGGTATGTTACGCGGCATTACGTATGCTAATAATCTTTACTTTTATTAGGTCGTCCTACAACGCCTCGTCTCCCATTGATCCATGGCCTGCAAATGATTGCTGACTCATTGACTCGATTGTCCCTCTTTAATTGCCCGCTTTTTCAATTACATGAAATCCTGGAGACATGTCCAAATCTTGAATTCCTGGAAACAGAGCATGTGGATGCATTTATATCTTTATCATCGTCGTCAATTTATCCCAAGATGAAGCACCTTGCACTTTGCAGTCAACCAGAACGCGCTCCCACTCGTGAAAATATGGTCGATATCCTGAGACGATTTCCTTCCTTGCAGGTGCTTGAGGTTATGCCAACGCCCGATTCCAGTCTTTTGCCAATCCTACACAAGCATTGTCCTTATCTCCAGGTCCTTTATTACGGCACCACGAACTTTGCCTCAGACCCCATTGACGTTCATCCAAACCGGAAAGGAGTCACTTTGGCGCACCTGGGAGTGTACGAAGAAGATGTCTTTATGCAAGATCATTTGATTGCGTTCCTGTATTTGCATAGCGGTTCACTCGAGAAGATGGCATTTGAAGGCATTATTGATGCTGAAAATTCCTATTGGAGAATGGAGAATGGACATGTACTTCTGCAGCAGGCAGATTATGAACACGATGTACCACCACCTTCACGCTATGGATGTGACCCAACTCTATCACAGGCTTCATTCAATCAATTGACAAGCATCACGTTTTCGGGCCCTGAGCAAGCTTTATGTCATGAATACATCCTATGGTTGATATCGAACGCTCCCAATCTCCAATCCATTGCTCTCAACAAATCATACATTCAACACGATGTCGCAAGTGCTATGATCAACGCAAGGCATCTTTGCAAGTTAGAGGTCTTTCAGTCCTGGGGAGGTGATGACGATGAAGGTGTCAAGCGGCTCTTGAATCATCATGTTGCAACGATGGGAGATGGCTCCACCCTTGAAGAGGTGATCATACACATGCTACATTTCAACATGTCTGCTGCCCCATGGATAACTCTATTGTGCAAGTTGAAGTCTCTCAAGAATCTGAAATTGCTCGTAGGAAGAAGCTTCTCTAAACATGGCATACCCATCATGGAAGAGATTGGTCAAGGTTGTCCCGCTTTGAAAGACCTAACCCTTGGTCATCGCCTTTGCACGTTGGCTGATGGCCTCTTCAAGCCTTTGTGTAAACATCCCAATATCGAATGCCTTAGGATTGAAGCTGAATCTTTATCCAACGACAACCTTATGGATTTGTGCGCATTCAACAATTTACAACAACTCCAACTCACACTCCATGTTATTGTTGCAGACGATAAGCTAGAGATGTTACGAAACCATATCCCCAAGGTCATTGTCATTGATGATATATAGTACATAATGTATATGATTCATGATAAGTAAATAGCTGCTTATTCTTCCATGATTGTATGAGAGTTGGTGCGATTGTTTAAGAGAACATCTTAAGTAGCCTTGTATAGAATAGAATTGATCTTTTCAATAAAGCCATTTAACGTTGTATCACATGCTACATATATGCCGTATTGGATTTGGGTGATGAAAACTGTGCGCGATTCATTTGCCCAATGCGGTAATTTAGGATGTTGCCATGGATATCTGACAACACTGGGTTGAGTTCCTTTGTGTTGAAATTCCACCGACAAGTCATGTTTTGCTTCGACTTCACCTCTTCGCTTTTACCATATTATTGCACTCAGACCCTCACACACCACAACGAATGAAGGTGGAAGAGAACATTGCGTGGTCCGAATTACTAAAGGTCACCATTGCCACAGCTCAACATGGTAATGACAGCAACCGAATTGCCACGGCAACCGAGACCTTGCAGCAAACAGCCCACCAATTCGTCAAGGTGCTCAATGAACGTGCGAGACTTTTAGCCAACAGTGCCCAGTTTGATACAGCGTTACGTGATGCAACAGCTATAAGAGCCATACTACCGGGATCAGGGCTTGGATACTTGGCTACAGGAGATGTGTATTGTCAACAAGGACGTTATGCAGCAGCGATTTCCATATACGATCAAGGGCTTCAAGCAGTGCCTGAATCCGATGCCTGTTATCATCAGCTACAGCAACAACGATTAGCAGCAATAGCCAACAACAACAAACGCGTCGATTTCATCAGTCGGTTGCCGTTGGATATTGTCATCACCAACATTGTACCAAGGATGGAGCCAGCATGCTTGCAATCTGATGTGTTGTTCGAGCCTCTTTACGTGTCACGTGGATGGCGGAAACGTATCTTACAGTGCCCTCACGGCTTGACTTTTGATTTCGGCCAAGAGAGTGAAACATTTGCGAGAGGTCATGACCACCTTGTCCGGTTTGCACCCTATGTACAGACGTTATCAGGTTGTTTCTATAAAGATGTGCGGTTGGATGATCTCTTTTCTCGAGCACGTTTTTCCAATCTAAAAGACCTAGACATAAGCGGTAAGTGACACTCGATGTGTGTGTACGTGTCATGGATTCGAATCCTTTTATTTAGGTGATGCTACGACCTCTCGTCTTCCACTAGTCAAAGGTCTTCGCCTGGTTGCTGATACGCTGACGCACTTGTTCGTTAACTGGTACCGCGAAGTTCAGTTACGTGACATCCTGGAGACATGCCCAAACCTTGTATCTCTGGATGTGGTGGATGTGGATATGGTTGTTCCTCCATCGCCTTCATCACGTTATCCCAAAATCACACGCCTAGCAATTCACGACGTAACCTTAAAATATTGCAGAGATGAAAACATGATTGATGTCCTCAGCCGGTTTCCTTCTTTATTATCATTCGAGATTACGCCAATGCCCGACTCCAGCCTCTTGAAGATCTTGCACGAGTATTGCCCATATCTACAAGTCCTTTATTTCGGTGAGAAGGATTATCGACGAGAGAAACCTCGTCCTCGTCCCAACGGAAGGAAAGGAATCGTATCGGCTTATTTGGGAGGATTGGATGCCGACGTCAACGACTATAGACATGATGACCTGGTCCAGTTCTTGTATTTGAATCGAAACTCGTTGGAGGATCTTGAGTTTGAAGGCACAATTGTCGATGATGACGCCTTTTGGAAATTGGAGAATGGACAAGTGATACAACAGAGAGATGATCAATATTCACCTTTACGTCCTGGAGATGATGATCCAACTCAATCTGACACTTCATTCATGCAGCTTGGCAGGATTGCTTTTTCAGGCGCTGAAGCATACCTTGGCGGTGCTATCATCACATGGTTGATATCGAACGCTCCCAATATCAAAACCCTCAGCCTCATCCAAAACTATATTCAGACCAACGTTGCAAACGCCATGATTCAGTTGAAGCATCTTTCCAAGTTACAGCTCCATCAGATGGTGACAGTGGACGATTATGAAGGCATGATTCAGTTCTTGCAGCATCATGTTGGTATGGGGAATCAATCAACGCTTGAAGAATTGACATTACTCGCTCCAATAGTGGTGATGAGATTTGGAGCGGCATGGATACCTTTAATTGCCAGGCTAGAGTCTCTCAAGAACCTCAAATTACTCGGAAGCATTTACTACGACGAGAGCATACACATCATGAAAGAGATAGCTCAAGGTTGCCCCGCTCTCGAAAAGCTAACTCTTGGTGGGCATCGTGACACTTTGGATGATGGTATGGTGCGGCTTTGGCGTGATCATTCGAATCTCAAGTACCTCAGGATTGGAGCTGAATCTTTATCCAACAACGATGCTACTGCCTTGTGTACATTCCGCAACTTAAAACAACTTCAACTTCAATGCGATGTTTCAGACGATTTGCTTGATTTGTTAGAAGAACGTATACCAGAAGTCGAGTTTATTGATGGCAATGAATGGTAATGCATATGTAGATTTCTCCTAATAAAGCCAACACCTTACTTCATCAAATTTACATGCGTGAGCGTTATTGATCATCAGCTTAGTGTGCGCGCTCAATGTGTGTGTAACCTCATATTAAGACCCCATTTGCATTGACCACACTCATTCTTTGAACTCCCTTCTTTGCTTTTACTCCTTCGCACCACTCAACCTCATACACCACAACGAATGACCATGGAAGACAACATTAGCTGGTCCCAATTGCTGAAGCACTCGATCCTCACAGCTCAACATGGGAATGACAACAACCGAATTGCAGCAGCAACAGGAACTTTGCAGCAAACGGCCCACCAATTCGTCCAAGTGCTCAATGAACGTGCCACGCTTTTAGCCAACAGTGCCCAGTTTGATACAGCTTTACGTGATGCAGCAGCCATACGAGCCCTATTACCAGGTTCAGGACTTGGATACTTGTGTACAGGAGACATCTATTGTCAACAAGGCCATTATGCAGCAGCGATTTCCATATACGATCAAGGGCTTGAAGCAGTACCCGAATCAGATCCACATCATCAGCAACTCCAATATCAACGCGTGAAAGCCATAGCCAACAACGATAAACGCGTCGATTTTATCAGCCAATTGCCACTGGATATTGTCATCACCAACATTATACCCAGAGTGCAGCCCAAGTTCTATTTTGAATCATCGTGCAAGCTTCTTTACGTATCACGTGCATGGCAGAATCGCATCTTGCAGCAACCTAATGGCTTACGATTCAACTTTGGCAGTGAAACCAACACCTTCAAAAAGGGCCATGTACAACTCCTCCAATTTGCACCCTATGTTCAAACCTTGCATGGTTCTCTCTTGAACGTTCGTTTGGATGAACTCTTTTCTCGAGCACGCTTTTCCACTTTAAAGAAACTCGATATAAGATGTAAGTGGTGTGGGGATCACGGTGACATGTCGCATGGCATGATGATGGTAACGAAGGATGTTTATATCATTAGGTGCTCCTACAACGCCTCGTCTTCCAATGATCCATGGCCTACGAATGATTGCTGATTCTCTTACCCATTTGACCCTGTATGAGTGCCCATTTCTTCAATTACGTGATATCCTGGAGACGTGTCACAATCTTGTGTCTCTGAAAACAATGCATGTGAATGCAATTATGCCGTTATCGTCTTCATCAATTTATCCCAAGATGACGCACCTTGCACTGTACTCGTTATCAGACACCGAAGTCGCCCATGGCAATATGGTGGATATCCTTAGTCGATTTCCTTCTTTACGGGTACTTGAAATTTCGCCAATGCCCTCCTCAAGTATCTTGTCTATTCTACATCAACATTGCCCTCATCTACAAATGCTGTATTATGGAATCAGCAGCTGTTTCTCAGACGACACCATTGAGTTGCATCCAAATCGGAAAGGACTCGCATTGGCGTGTATAGGAGCGAATGAAGGAGACATCGTTCGACAAGACGATTTGGTTGGGTTACTGCATATGCATATCGATTCACTGGAGAAGTTTGAATTCCGCGGCACAATGGATGTAGACGGTTCTTATTGGAAATTCGAGAATGGACGAGTGCAAGTACAGCAGCAGGCGGATAATGATGATGATCAAGTTGATGTTCCACTACATGGAAGCGACCCAACTCTGCCAGGGACCTTTTTCATGAGATTGACCAGCATGCTGTTTTCGGGTACTAGGCGATCTTTAAGTCATGGATTCATGTTGTGGATGGTATCAAACGCTCCGTATCTCAGCGCCATCAGTCTCCTCAAATGCTATTTTCAACCCGATATCGCAAACGCCATGATCAAAGCAAAGCATCTTTCCAAATTAGAGATCTTTCATTCACTTGGATATGAGGGCAATGAAGGCATCAAGCGGTTCTTGGATTATCATATTGCAATGGGAGATGGATCAACACTTGAAGAGGTCATTATACGCATGGTAAATGTGGATACGACTGTGGCCCTATGGATACGATTATTGTCGCGGTTGAAGTGTCTCAAGAACCTCAAGTTACTCGTGTTAAGGATTTCTGAAGATTGCATACCTGTCATGGAGGAGATAGGTCAAGGCTGCCCCGCTCTAAAAGAGGTTACCCTTGGCCATGCTGATTCCGAGTTGGCTCATGGCCTTATCAAGCCCTTGTGCAAACATCCAGATATTGAAAGCCTTAGGATCGGCACTGGACCTTTATCTCACGAGGACCTTATGGATCTATGCGCGTTCAACAATTTGAAACAACTCCAACTCCAATTCACTGTTGCAGACCGTACGCTTAAGATGTTACGGGATCATATCCACAAAGTCGAGATTACTTGATGATGATGCATAGCATAGCTCTCTCATAATAAAAGACAACATTTTAAATACATTTATGTATATGGAATGCAATCAATCTTTCAATAAAGCCATTTGATGTGGGTCATCACATGCATGTTTAGTACTATATGCCGTATCTGGGCGAGGAAAATGGTGCGCCATTCATTGTCCAATGCAGGACGTTCCCATGGATACTACCGACATGGCAACCTATAGTCGCGTACATGTCACACGATGGTATGTATGCATCAGGAAAAGATCATTTCATGCATCTCAATTGGAGGGTTGAAGTCCTTTTGTGTTCAAATTCCACGGGCAAGTCATGTTTATTGCTTGGGCTTCACCTCTTTTGCTTTTACCACTACTTTATTCGACGCGCACACACCCCGACAAATGACCATTGTCAAGGACTATGCCTGGTCTGATTTACTAAAGGACACAGTTATCACGGCTCAACATGGTAATGACGGCAACCGAATTGTAGCAGCAACCAAGGCTTTGAAACAAGCAGCTCACCAATTCGTCAAGGTGCTCAATGATCGTGCCCGGCTTTTCGCCGACAGTGCCCAGTTTGATACAGCGATACGTGATGCAGCAGCTATGAGGGCCCTATTACCGAGATCAGGGCTTGGATACTTGTGTACAGGAGACGTGTATTGTCAACAAAGACGCTATGCAGCAGCCATTTCCATATACGATCAAGGGCTTATAACAGTACCTAAATCAGACGACTATTACCAGCAACTCCAACAACATCGAAAGGCAGCAATAGCCAACAACAGCAAACGCGTGGATTTTATCAGCCGGTTGCCATTGGATATCGTCATCACCAACATTCTACCCAGGGTAGAGAGCAAGTTCTATTCAGATTCGTTATGCGACTATCTGTATGTATCACGTACATGGCAGAAGCGTTTCCTTCAGCAACCTAACGGCTTGAACTTTGATTTTGGCCTAGAGAAGCAGACACTTGCGAAGAATCACAATCAACTTATTCGGTTTGCACCCTATGTACAGAGGTTGTCAGGCTTTATCATTTTTGCCATACAGTTGGATGATCTTTTTTCTCGAGCACGGTTTTCAAATCTAAAGGAGCTAGATATAAATGGTAAGTGAATGGATGGCGGCGTATGTGTGTGCATATGTGTCTTGGATTTGAACCCCTTTTTTGTTAGGTTCTTTGGCATCCGCTCGTCTTCCATTCATCAATGGTCTTCGGCTGGTCGCTGATACGCTGACACATTTGTCCATTAACGGGCACCCTTGTATTCAGCTGCGTGACATCCTGGAAACATGTCCGAATATTGTATCTCTCTTTGTATCGGGTGTGGATATTGTTATGCCTTCATCGCCTTCATCACGCTATCCCAAGATCACGTACCTAGCAATTCACGACGTATCCGAAACAGCTCGTGGTAATGACAACATGGTTGATCTCCTCGGCCGGTTCCCTTCTTTATTGTCCTTCGAGGTTTCACCAATGCCCGACTCCAGCCTCTTGACGATCCTACACGAGCATTGCCCATATCTACAGGTCCTTTATTTCGGTGGCAGAAATTATCGCCCAACGGATGTTCGTCCCAATGGAAGAAAAGGAATCATATCAGCTCATCTAAGAGAAGGAAGAAATGATGTCTATATGCATAATGACCTGATCCATTTCTTGCACTTGCATCGAGATTCATTGGAAGAGCTTGAGTTTCGCGGCGACATTGATGATGGCGACTCTTTTTGGAAATTGGAGAATGGAAAAGTGATACAATAAAGGGATGATCAACATTCACACATACGTTGTGGCGATGATGATGATCCAACCCAATCTGACACTTCATTCAAGCGGCTGACCAAGGTTGATTTTCGGGGTCCTGAAGAATCTTATTCCAGTGTTTTTCTCACATGGTTGATATCGAACGCTCCTAATATGAAAACGATCCATATCGGCGCCTGGTATTTTCGACCCAACGTTGCAAACGCCATGATTCAGTTGAAACATCTTTCCAAGATCGAGGTCCTTCAAAAGTGGAGAAATTATGACGATGATGAAGACGAGGACGAGGACGAGGATGAAGACGATTGTGGAGGCATCATTCAGTTCTTGAAACATCATGTTGAAATGGGACATCAATCAACGCTTGAAGAATTGGTCATGTTAAGAGGGACACCCGACGTAGCATGGATACCGTTAGCTCCGGAGTTAAAACGTCTCAAGAAGCTCAAATTAATCACTGACAGAATTCCTGGCCGTTGCTTCCCACTCATCATATCGATAGGAAAAGGCTGTCCCGCTCTCGAAAAGTTAATCCTTGGCTTGCCTAACTCGATGGTAGCTGATGGTCTTTTGAAGCCTTTGCGTGTACATCCGAATCTCGAATGTCTTAAGATTGGGACTGGATCTTTATCTGCCGATGACGCTATCGCCTTGTGTACATTCAGAAATTTGAAAAAACTCCAACTTGAGTGTCATGTTTCAGATGATTTACTTGAGATGTTGCAAGACCATATACAAACAATCGAGATGTATCCTCGACGATGGTAGTGCATATGTAGATATCCCATAATAAATTCAACACCTTTTTTTATGTAATTCCATGATCGTGTCTTTACAATCTTTAAATGCTATCTCTTGGATTATGCATCTGTCATTGTCAAGTGTATGTGTGTAACGTAAATCTAGAGGACGAGGATGTCTTTGGGACATGATGGAATTGGTTACTTTGAGGCACTTCCAATCATCCATTCTCTTTGGAGCATCGTCTCGGTTAAAGCCCCTAATGCATCTAATGCAGATTGCCACGTTTTACCAAGCACAGATGATAACATTTGATCGCCTCCCACACTTTTGCTGTAAGGTATTACATGAATGCATATTATAGAACGATCCATCAGCTATTTCAAGAGGTCAATTGAAAGGCAATGAATGCTAAGGTGTCCATCTTTTGCCATACTTTGATACTTTATTATGTAACAAGACATACGCAAGATCGAATCTATATACGTGATCACTAAGGGCTTTATTGATCATGAGCTTAGTGTATGCGCTCAAGGTGTGTGTAACCTCAGATCAGCCCATTCGCATTGACCACACTCATTCTTTGAACTCCCTTCTTTGCTTCAACTCCTTCGCACCTTTCAGTCTCGCTCACCACAACGAATGACCATGGAAGACGACATTAGCTGGTCCCAATTGCTGAAGCACCCCATTGCCACGGCTGAACATTCCAATGACAACAACCGAATTGCAGCGGCTACCGAGACTCTACAGCAAACAGCACACCAATTCGTCAAGGTGCTCAATGAACGTGCCATGCTTTTAGCCAACAGTGCTCAATTTGATGCAGCGTTACATGATGCAGCAGCCACAAGGACCCTAATACCAGGTTCAGGAATTGGATACTTGTGTATGGGAGACGTGTATTGTCAACAAGGACATCATGCAGCAGCCATTTCCATATACGATCAAGGCCTTGAAGCAGTGCCCGAATCCGATCCATATTATCAGCAACTTCAGCAACATCGAATGACAGCAATAGCCAACAACAGCAAACGCGTGGATTTCATCAGTCAGCTTCCATTGGATATTGTGATCACCCACATTGTACCAAGGATGCAGCCCAGGTTCTATTCCGAATCATCGTGCGAGATTCTTTACGTATCACGTGAATGGCAGGAGCGAATCTTCCAGCAATCCAAGGGCTTGAAGTTCTCCTTTGGTGAAGAAGCCAACACGTTCAAAGAGGGCCATGCACAACTCATCCAATTTGCACCTCATGTCCAGTTCTTGGGTGGCTCTCTCTTGGACGTTCGTCTGGATGAACTCTTTTCTCGAGCAAGCTTTTCCAATCTAAAAGAACTCAGTATAATCTGTAAGTGGTGGGGACGATGGGATGTCACGTGGCATAATGGATGCGAATGATCTTTTGCTTTTATTATTTTGTAGGTGCTCCTACAACGCCTCGTCTTCCATTGATCCATGGTCTGCAAATGGTTGCTGATTCATTGACTCATTTGTCTCTCTATGAGTGCCCTGGTCTTCAATTACGTGACATTGTGGAGACGTGTCCCAATCTTGTATCTCTTGAAACAATGAATGTGGATGCTATTGTGCCTTCATCGTCGTCATCAACGTATCCCAAGGTGACTCATCTTGCACTGCACGCGATATCAGAAACAGCTCGCAGTCAACATGATAACATGGTGGACATCCTCGGTCGATTTCCTTCATTACAGTCATTGAAGATCACGCCAATGCCCTCTTCAAGTATCTTGTCTATTCTACACCAATGTTGTCCTCATCTACAAATACTGCATTATGGGCTCAGGAGTTCTTTCTCAGACGACATCATTGATGTGCATCCAAATGGGAATGGGGTCACTTTTGTCTCTCTAGGAGCGAATGAAGAAGACATCTTTAATCAAGACGATGTGATTGGGTTCCTACATGTGCATATCGAATCATTGGAGAAGTTTACATTCCGCGGCATTATGGATGCAAACAATTCTTATTGGAGATTGGCGAATGGAAAAGTACGAATACAGCAGGTGGATGATGTACCACGGCCGCATTCACGTTATGCAAGGGACCCAACTCTGCCACAGGCTTTTTTCATGAGATTGGACAGCATCATGTTTACGGGTCCTGAGCTATCTTCATGCCATGAATTCATATTATGGATGATATCCAACGCCCCGAATCTCAATACTATCCGTCTCCGCAAATCATATTTTCAACTTGATATCGCAAACGCCATGATCAACGCGAGACATCTTTGCAAGTTAGAGATCTTTCATTCGTGGGGAAATGGTGGCGATGAAGGCATCGAGCGATTCTTGGGGTATCATATTGAAACAATGGGAAGTGGCTCCACACTTGAAGAGGTCATTATACGCGTGGTGAATTTGGGTATGTCTCGTACCCCATGGATACGTTTATTGGCCCGGTTGAAATGTCTCAGGAACCTGAAATTACTCGCTGGAAGCATTTCTGAAGATTGTATACCTGTCATGGAAGAGATAGGTCAAGGTTGTCCCGCTCTAAAAGAGTTAACCCTTGGTCATGCTGATTGCGGGTTGCCTGATGACCTCTTCAAGTCTTTGTGTAAACATCCAAACCTCGAATGCCTTAGAATTGGCGCCGAGTCTTTATCCAACGACGACCTTATGGATCTATGCGCATTCAAGAATTTGAAACAACTCCATTTGCCATCCATTGTTGAAGACGATATGCTCGAGATGTTACAAGATCATATTCCAAAAGTCGAACTTATTGATGATGATGATGCATAACGTAGATGTCTCATAATAAAGAACAGCTTGTCTCCTTCCATGATTGTATGAGGGTCAATGCGTTTGAGCATTACACGTTATATATCTATGTATTGATAGTATGCAATCGATATTCTCAATAAAGCCATTTGGAAATTGTATCACATGCACGATTAAACTATATGTGCGACATTCGTTGCCCGATGCGGGACGTTGCTATGGATACCAACATGGCAACATCTGGTCATGTACAAGCTGTGTTGTCACGCGAGATGGTATGTATGCATAAGAAAAAGACATTTACTTCCTCGAATGATATGATTTCATGCAGCTAGCTTTCTACTCTACCAAGTTGAGTTGACCACATCAATTGGAGGGTTGAGTTCCTTTGGGTTGAAATTCCACCACCAAGCCATGTTTGGCTTCGGCTTCACCTCTTTGCTTGTACTGCTTTGTTCGACGCGCACAACATTACACGCCAACGAATGACCGCCGTAGAGAACATTGACTGGACCCAATTACTGAACAACATATCACTCACAGCTCAACATGGTAATGACGGCAACCGAATTGCCACGGCAAACGGGGCTTTCAAACGAACAGTAGAACAATTGGTCCAAGTCCTTAATGACCGTGCCAGGCTTTTCGCCAACAGTGCCCAGTTTGATGCAGCGTTACGCGATGCAGCAGCCATAAGGACCATATTACCAGGATCAGGTTTTGGGTACTTGACTACAGGAGACGTGCAGTGTCAGCAAGGACGTTATGCAGCAGCTATTGCCATGTACGACCAAGGACTTGCAGCAGTGCCTGAATCGGATCAATATTACCAGCAACTTCAGCAGCATCGATCGGTAGCAGTAGCCAACAGCAACAAACGCGTCGATTATATCAGTCAGCTTCCATTGGATATCGTTATCACCAACATTATACCCAGGGTGGATCCCAAGTTCCATTCAGATTTCTTATGCGAGTATCTTTATGTATCACGTACCTGGAAGGAACGTTTCTTGCAGCAACCTAATGGCTTGGACTTTGATTTCGGCGAAGAGACTGAGACCTTCAAGAGGGGCCATGATCAACTTGTCCGATTTGCTCCCTATGTTCAAAAGTTACATGGCAATGTGTTCGATGATGCAGAGTTAGAGGATCTCTTTTCCCGAGGACGCTTTTCTAATCTTAAGAACATGAATATATGCTGTGAGTATTGGGAGTGGTTATGGATTATGTGGCATGATGGATGCGAATGACGTTTGTTTTTAGGTAATGACACCACTCTACGTCGTCCATTGGTCAACGGCCTTCGACTGATTGCTGATTCTTTGACGCATTTGGCTATTTATTTGAGTCCTTCTATTCAATTACGTGATATCCTGGAATCGTGCCCCAACCTTGAATCCTTGTTAACAATGCGAGTGGATGCAGTTATGCCTTCTTCACCATCATCACGCTATCCCAAAATGAAGAGCCTAGCACTTTACAACCTATCAGACCCTGATCTCACACATGCCAATATGGTGGATGTCCTTAGTCGATTCCCTTTTTTATTGTCACTTGAAATTCATTATACGCCCGAATCCAGCATCCTGCCTATTCTACGTGAACACTGCCCATATCTTCAAAGGCTTTATTTTGGTGCTAGGAACTACCTTCTTGACAACATGGATTTCCAGCCCAATCGAAAAGGGGTCCGCTGGGCTTATCTAGGAGGAGGTGACGATTACGACTATATGCAAGATGATTTGATCAAGTTCTTACACCAGCACAGAAAGACACTGGAAACGTTTGATATTGGCGCCGAGATTAATGCGGATAACCCTTCGTTGGAAATATCAAATGGAGAAATTGTGGATGCTGGTGACTACGACCCTTGGGCTGCATCGGCTGCAGAAGTAATTCAGGAAGAAGACGACGCATCAGATACTGCATTTATGCGATTGACAGACATTCGTTTTTCGGATCACGATTATCCTTCAGCTGAAGCTTTTATTATATGGTTGATATTGAAGGCACCGAATCTCAACGCCATCCATCTCCCCGAGTCTCATATTCTACCACGGATCGCATACGTCATGACCAAGGCAAAGCGTCTTTCCAAGCTAGAGATCTTTCAAAAAATGAGATATCACGACCACAATGGCATCAAACAATTTCTGGAACATCATGTTGGATTGGGGGATCAATCAACACTCGAGAAAATGATCATACACGTGGATACACAGATGTTTCATGTTTCATGGCTGCCTTTGATCTTCAAGCTGAGATGCCTCAAGGACTTGAATATACTCGTGAATACCATTTCCGAAGAATGCCTATCAGCATGGGAAGAAATCGGTCAAGGTTGCCCCGCTCTAGAAGAGTTGACTCTGGGTATGGATGGTGCGGAATTTGTTGAGGGTTTCATGGAGCCTTTGCGTCACCTACAGAAACTCAAATGCATCAGAATCAGGGCGCAAGTCTTACCTACTCCGGACTTTGCAATTTTGGTGACAATTCCCAGCTTAGAATGGATCTATCTTCATTGTAATGTACCAGATTTTATGGTCAGGGTTTTAAGGGCGGGCAATGCAAAACTTATAGTAGAAAAACCAGAAGATGATGAATGATAATGCGCTGGCGCACCCTTCGTGATCATGTACATACAATAATGTTAGAATAAAGAACTCTTTTATGCATATTAGAACCCACTAATCTACTGTCATTTCTCATCCCATATTTTGAAAACGAAGCGAATGAGTTAAAGAGGATTCTAAACCATAAAGTTGCATTATTCATGACGAAGGGGAAAGAATATGAACAAAGAAAGAGGAGAAGGAGTACAATGAATCCCATAAGTGACAATCACCCAACAGCACACGTGACCCATCCTCATTGTATACTCTTAATCCATGTAACACGTAACCGGTGCTCTCCTCATTGTGAAGCTCCCCCATCACTTGATCCATCATCCAAAATCACGATAATCCCAATCCCATCCACATCTTGTAGATCCATGGTATACCCAATATCCAACCCTTCCTGCTCAAGAGCCCAGCAAGCAATAGTGTATGTCACGAAGCAGGTGTATTACCGATTTTGAACGTTGTTGTGATACAATGTGTCTACCAAGTCTATCTACTCGTATGTGGATCATCCATGGTGGTCATATTCTTGGTGTTGCATGTGATGGTGGAATAGCATACATGGTCCATGGGATGCTGCCGATAAAAGAAAACATGTATGTGTCGCAAAAGAGCGTCGTTTCAACCAGCAGATCCAATCATCCAATCCATCATCCTCAGCATCATCGACTTGAGTGTTGCCATAGTTGATCCAAAGCTGCAGCTATATAGAAGCACCATTAAAAAGTTGAAGTCCGTCACCTGCTCTGGGATCTACTCACCCTCATGGTGGTTGACATATAACGTGATGGCTCCGTGCTGATGATACACTCCTGAAGAAAAGTGATTGCTCCTCCAGTTGTCCGTGTCATTGAATATCGCCCAAAAGACTATACGAAACTGGTTTCATCGAATGCGATATGCCAATTGCCACATGAATGACCCACCGTCATCCATCATCTCCCTAATCGATGATGATCATGTCAGATAAGATCCATTTGCCACGATCCAAATCCATTCCATTCCTTACCTTGGTATGTAGATGCACTTGAATATGAGTACATGTGCATGTTGTTATGCCAAGTAACCAAAAGGATGTCTCCAAATTTTCGCACATGATGATCAATGCAAGGCCTTGCTGTCGATAAGGGTGATAGGTTGGATGCATGTCGCCAAGGTATGTTGCAACACAATGCGTGAAGAAGAGTAGCTTGTATAATGCAATATGGTCGTATCCACCAGCAAGCTTGTCAAAGGTCGTAATGTGGAAGAAGCGATGCCGTGTATGTTGAGTAATTCTGTCAAGAATTAACCAGAGGGTGGAATGTACTGTAATGTCTGCTGAAGAGAGGATGTCGATTGTATCGAACAAGTGGCTATTGTAAGATCATTGAATGAGAGACGTTGTTGGTGTTGAGAAGAAGCTTGAACAAGTCCCCCATACCACGCCGCCAGCTGTTTTACCTTCAATTATGGCCACCAGGTTACACGGACACATTCCCCATCATCCCAAAGCATGCATATTGTAGCGTATGCGATAGAGACCATGGATTGATATAAATTCATCTCATATTGTACCTCTCAGACGGCGTTGTAGGATATTGCGGCATGCCTTGGTGATGCGTTTGATCATCGATCTAACCACGCTTGAAAAGGGTTTAGGTCGCCTAATAAGTCATGCGTTAAGCCCGCTCCTTGAATGTTCATGCAAAACAAAGCTGTATAGACACCGCTTTTCCTGCAACATGAGCACCTTGTAGCGCTTTTCAATAGAATAGAATTCACGATGATGGTTTCGTATGAATAAAAACGCCAACAATGTGTATTGGATGGCACGCTTATTTGACATCGTCCATTGCGTAAATGATCCCCTTGATCAATCTTTGAGTTCCTCCATAATAAAGTTTCAGTCTGCAGCGGTTGACCTTCAAAACACCAATAAAGGAGAGACTTGTTGATCAAGGAGTGCAGCTTGCATACGAAGCGGAGTAAACTTGTTTGCAGCTTTACTGCATAGCACGGATGACAGCATTAGCAAGAATTTTGATATATACTTTGCTCTTTTCGATGATGACATTTTGACAACATACAAAGGGTCACAAGTCGGTACGCCATATGCAAAGTGGATATGCGCTATCGTTGGCATCGTTGCGGATTACATTTATACAGCCCTCCCTAAACCTTGAAATCCCACAACTATAAAAATGGCAGCGTTGAGGGGCATTGTACATTACCAATATCACTCAATCATGATGAACTTGAAGCTTTCCCTTTTTATTACCCTTGCTCTCTTTGCACTTACGGTGATGTCCCAGCAGCAAGGTCCCAAGGCAGCTCAACCAGACGGCGCAAGCCCCGCAGCCCCAGATCCAAATGCTCCAGCCGCTCCTGCTGCTCCTGCTGATCCTGAGAAGCATGAAGCTGCTTCTAGCGCTATACGTACCATTGATGAATGCAAACCGAAATGCCAATCACAAATCGGGGACAACCTTTTTGACTGCATGATAAAGTGTCGATATGGTTAATTATCAGCGCTTCTATGGACAACCGGTGTATGAGTAGTGAAGACTATTGTTCCTTACTGTACCAGTCTATTTTGACAATAAATCATTGGTTTCATATCATCTATTTGTATAAAAAAGAATAAATCTAGCAACCAGCCCGAGTGCTATGTGATTGTCAACACTTGAAGTGTAACATGAGGTGTGGGAGCTTTCCATACATATCACCGTTACCTGCCACGACTAACATGTCTTCAAAATACAGCACCGATTTGGGTCTGCTTTGGTCCGTGTGATGCGTGAGCTTGCCGTCCAAGATAATGGGATGTATAAAATGGTTTATGATAATGTTGTTTGTTTAGCAAATGCAATTGACACATTTGGCTGTATAATCATCATGCAATCCAACAAGATGACATCGCGTCGTAAAGTGTGTGGTTTATTAGGATTGCAATAACTTTAACACTAAGGAAAATAGCAAATTCATATTGATGAATCCATAACTAATCACACCATAGCCTAGTTTGATTATGGTCGGGTGCCTTCATTCCCTATTCGAAATAGCAGGAAGAAGCATCATTCATCAGCTTGATGCGTGTCTTGTATAACCAGCAGGTACAAACTCCCCCGACTTTTCCTTTCAGCTTGTCTTTTTCGCTTTTACAACTTTGCTGCACTCAGACGCTCATACACCACGTACGAATGACCGTTGTCGAGAACATTAGGTGGTGCGAATTACTAGAGGACACCATTGTCACAGCTCAACATGGTAATGACGGCAACCGAATTGCCACGGCAACCGAGACTCTACAACAACTGACACGGCAATTCGTCAAGGTGCTCAATGAACGTGCCATGCTTTTAGCCAACAGTGCACAGTTTGATACAGCGTTACGTGATGCAGCAGCAATAGTCGCCTTATTACCGGGATCAGCACTTGGATACTTGTGTATGGGAGTCGTGTATTGTCAACAAGGCCATCATGCAGCAGCGATTTCCATATACGACCAAGGCCTTGAAGCAGTGCCTGAATCCGATGCCTATTATCAGCAACTCCACCAACATCGATTGACAGCAGTAGCCAACAGCAACAAACGCGTCGATTTCATCAGCCGGTTGCCATTCGATGTTGTCGTTACCAACATTATACCAAGGATGGACCAGCGAGCCTATTTGGATCCGGATGTGTTGTATGAGCCTCTTTACGTATCACATACATGGCAGGAGCGTATCTTGCAGCAATCCAAGGGCTTGAACTTTCAATTTTGTAAGCAGGTCGAGACGTTTATTAAGGACCATACACAACTCATTCAATTTGCACCCTATGTTCAGACCTTGAGTGGTTGTCTATTGGACGTTCATTTGGATGATCTCTTTTCTCGAGCACACTTTTCCAATCTAAAAGAACTCGATATATTCTGTAAGTGATGGTTGATGGATGGGATTCACGTGGCATGATGCTAATTGCGACCTATTTTTTTTTCTTTGTTAGGCCCTCATGGTTTAACGCCTCGCCTTCCATTGATCCATGGATTACAAATGATTGCTGATTCACTTACACACTTGGGCATTTATCAGTGTCCTGAACTTGAATTGCGTGATATCCTGGAGACATGTCCCAATCTTGTATCCCTGAAAACAATGGATGTGGATGCAGGTATGCCATTATCATCAAGTTATCCCAAGATCAAGCTCCTTGAACTCCACGAACAACGAGAGCAAGCCCACACGCATGAACACATGGTCGATGTCCTAAGTCGATTTCCTTCCTTACGTATGCTGAAGATTACACCAATGTGCACCTCCACTGTTTTGCCTATCCTACGCCAGCATTGTCCTTATCTAGAGGCTATTTCTTTGCGGTGCACGAGCCCGGATTTTGGCGTAACTACAGCAAATGATCATCAAGATCGAAAAGGGATCACATCAGCTTATTTGGGAGGTGCCGATTTTTATCATCAAGATGACCTGATCGAGTTCTTATACATGCAGAGAGAGTCATTGGAGATCCTGGATTTTCACGGCAGACTTCAAGTCAACAATGCCTTTTGGGAAATATCAGCTGATGGGCGAGTTCAACCTCGTAATACAAGTTCACACCCTGAGAAGGACCCGTTATCTCCATCATCATTTACGCGATTGGTTGACCTTCGGTTTACGAGTATTATTCCATCTTCAAGTATGCCTATGCTACTGTGGATTGTATTGAACGCACCCAACCTCAACGCCATCCATATCTATAATTCAAATTTTCAACCATCTGTCGCAAACGCCATTATCAAATTGGGTCATCTCCAAAAGGTACAAATCGAAGAGGACTACATTATGGGACACACAGACGACAATATCATCGACGGCTACTACCATGGAATTCGCCAATTCTTTGAGCATCATGTTGCCTTGGGGGATCACTCAACACTCAAACATGTGGTTGTGCACATGCCCTTTGTGAATGCATTTGAACAAACATGGTTGCCTTTATTATCACAATTGAGATGCCTCAAGGTCCTTGAATTACGCGGTAAAATCGCTTATGGGGATTGCACCCTTGCCGATAATTGCATACCCATCATGAAAAGGATACGCCGAGACTGCCCCGCTCTCGAAACGTTGATGGTTAATGGGAAGGTGCCGATTTGGTTAGCGGACTCATAGAGCCTTTTGCATCATCATCATCATCATCATCTGAAACTTGAATTCCACCACGATTAGAGCACTATCATTATCCAAAGATGTCCTTATTTATTTCGGGAAAAGTCCATATTGAATACCATACTTTATCTATAATAAATGCGAACATTCGTTTTCATCCCAAGGTCTTATCTTTGCATGAGCGTCAAATTGCAATCTTTATTAAAGAAGTATCTTGCCCGCGTTATGCACAACAACATGAAATCGATTCCTAAATACAGCCAACCGACATTGCATCTTTTGGTTTATGTATAATGTATGCATCATTTACTTGCTTAACGGGGTGGTTGGCAGATGATGGTTTAATATGGCAAGGTACACCCTGCTCTGTTCATGCTGGGATCATCGCACAAGATACACATCGCAGCAGTGGTTTACTTCTTTGGATGCTGGTTGCATTAGAACCTTATTTCATGTATCGAGTTTTCTATTCTACCATGCTGAGTGTGGTTCTTTTAATGTGCTGAAATTCCACTGACAAGTCCCCTTTTGTTCCGGCTTGACACCTCTTCCTTCATTCAATACGCTCACCAACACACGCACACGCACAACGAATGGCAACAATAGTGAACATTGCCTGCTCCGAATTGCTGAAGAACCCCATTGTCACAGCTGAGCATGGCAATGACGGCAACCGAATTGCATCAGCAACAGAGACTTTGCAGGAAACGGCCCACCAATTCGTCCAAGTGCTCAATGAACGTGCCATGCTTTTAGCCAACAGTGCACAGTTTGATACAGCTTTACGTGATGCAGCAGCCATAAAGACCATATCACCGGAATCAGGGCTTGGATATTTGTGTATGGGAGACGTGTATTGTCAACAAGGCCATCATGCAGCAGCGATTTCCATATACGACCAAGGCCTTGAAGCAGTGCCTGAATGCGATGCCTATTATCAGCAACTCCACCAACATCGATTGACAGCAGTAGCCAACAACAACAAACGCGTCGATTTCATCAGCCGGTTGCCATTCGATGTTGTCGTTACCAACATTATACCAAGGATGCAGCCCGATTTCTATTCTGAATCATCGTGCAAGCTTCTTTACATGTCACGTGCATGGCAGGAGCGCATCTTGCAGCAACCCAAGGGCATACGGTTCTCCTTTGGCGAGGAAACCAACACATTCAAAGATGGCCATGCGCAGCTCATTCGATTTGCTCCCTATGTCCAGTACTTGGGTGGTTCTCTGGTCGGCGTGCATTTGGATGATCTCTTTTCTCGAGCAAGCTTTTCCAATCTAAAAGAACTCAGTATATTCTGTAAGTGTGGATGATGGTTTATCACGTTGCATGACGATGGAAACGAATGATTCCTATATTATCAGGTGGTCCTACAACGCCTCATGTGCCATTGATCCATGGTCTGAAATTGATTGCTGATCCATTGACTCGTTTGACTCTCCTTGAATGCCCTGGTCTTCAATTACGTGACATTTTGGAGACGTGTCCCAATCTTGTATATCTCAAAACAATGGATGTGGATGCCGTTATGCCCTTATCATTGTCATCAATTTATCCCAAGATGAAGCACCTTGTACTTTACCGACTACAACAAAGAGCTCGCACGCATGAGAATATGGTTGATGTCCTAAGCCGATTCCCTTCCTTACGTATGCTAAAGATATCGCCAATGCCTGCCACCACTATCTTGCCTATCTTACACAAGCATTGTCCTGATCTACAAGCTATTTCTTTCGAGTGCTGGAGCCCGGATGTTGCCGTAACTACAACAACTGTTGGAGAAGGGATTGCATCAGCTTATTTGGGCGGCGAGAACGTTCATTATCGACATGACTTGATCGAGTTCTTATACGAGCAAAGCAATTCATTGGAGGTCTTCCATTTTCATGGCACGCTTGAAATCAACAATGCTCTTTGGGAAATATCAGATGATGGGCAAGTTCAACCTCATACCACACCTTTAAGGGTTGCGAACGACCTGTCATCTCCATTATCATTCACACGATTGGTTGACCTTCGGTTTACGAATACTGATCCATCTTCAGGTGTGCCTATGATACTATGGATTGTATTGAACGCACCCAACCTCAGCGCCATCCATCTCCCTCATTCCCATTTTCAACCTGCTGTTGCAAAAGCCATGATCAAATTGAAGTATCTTCGAAAGGTGGAAGTCGAACAGAACGACACCACAGACGACATAGAACAGATACGCGAGGAGCTTCTTGGCGACTTGGATGACGATACCATCGACGACAATACCATCGACAACAATTACGATGGCATCCACCAGTTCTTTCAGCATCACATTGCCTTGGGGGATCACTCAACACTCCAGCATGTGGTGGTGCGCGTGTACTTTGTGAGTGCATATCGACAAACATGGCTGCCTTTATTATCACGACTGAGATGCCTCAAGATCCTCGAATTATGCGGTCGAAACAGCTACACGGATTGCTTCGTTGCCAATAATTGCAAACACATCTTGAAAAGGATACGCCGAGACTGTCCCGCGTTCGAAAGGTTAATCATCAATCGAAGAATATCCAATTGGTTAGCACCATCACCATCATCACCATCATCCGAGACATCATCATCACCATCATCCGAGACATCATCCGAGCCATCATCATCATCACCATCTGGACTTTGATATTATAAAGATATCCAAACACAACCTTTTATCGGCAAAAGTACATATTCAATACCATACTTCATATATAAATTGAGCGTTTGCTTTCATCCCATGATCGTATCTTTACACGAGCATCAATTGTATTCTTTACCAAAGCAGCACACTTCTCAGACTATGTACAACATGCGATCAATCGTCTCAATAAAGCCATCTGGCAACTAGCATTGCATCTTTTGCTTTTATGTATAACGGTGGTATCATCTACTTGCATAATGAGATGGCTGGCAGTCATTACTGTGTGATGTTTTGAATATGAAAAGTCAACCCCTTTCTCTCCAATGCATATTGCAATACATTCATGAAGCTGAGTTGTGGGGATTGACAACAACACAGGTTGCCATGGACGCCAAATTCCAGCGACCAGTCATTTTCTGTTTCGGCTTGATACCTCTTCTTTCCACGCACACAACAACACACACAACCAATGACCGTGGAAGGCAACATTAGCTGGTCCGAATTGCTGAAGCCCACCATTACCACAGCTCAACATGATAATGACGACAACCGAATTGCCATGGCAACCGAGACGTTGAAGCAAGCAGCACGACGATTCGTCGAGGTGCTCAATGAGCGTGCAAGACTATTAGCAAAAAGTGCTCAGTTTGAGACAGCGTTACGTGATGCAGCAGCTATAAGGGCCATATTACCTGAATCAGGACTTGGATATTTGTGTAATGGTGACATTTATGGGCAGCAAGGGCACTACAATGAAGCTATTGCCATATACGATCAAGGGCTTGAAGCAGTACCGCATTCTGATCCATATTATCAGCAACTCCAACAAAATCGAATGGAAGCAGTAATCAACAACAACAAACGCGTGGACTTTATCAGCCGGTTGCCATTGGATATCGTTATCACCAATATTATACCAAGGATGGAGCCAGCCTATTTGGACCCGGATGTATTGTATGAGCCTCTTTATGTATCACGTACCTGGCAGGAGCGTATCTTGCAGCAACCCAAGGGCTTGAAGTTTCAATTTCGTAGAGCAGTCGTCACCTTCAAAAATGGCCATGCACAGCTCATCCGATTTGCACCCTATGTACAGACCTTGAGTGCTTCTCTGTTGGACGTTCATTTGGATGACCTCTTTTCTCGTGCACACTTTTCCAATCTAAAAGAACTCGAGGTATTCAGTAAGTGGTGTGGATGATGGATGGCATGTCACGTGGAATGATGCTAATTGCAATCGATCCTCTGTTTATCAGGCCCTCATGGTTCAACTCCTCGCCTTCCATTGATCCATGGATTACAAATCATTGCTGATTCACTTACACACTTGGCCGTCTATCAGTGTCCTGGCCTTGAATTGGGTGATCTCCTGCAAACATGTCCCAATCTTGTATCTCTCAAAACAATGCGTGTGGATGCAATTAGGCCGTTATCATCAAGTTATCCCAAGATCAAGCTCCTTGAACTCGACGAAAGACTAGATCAAACCCACACGCATGATCATATGGTCGACGTCCTAAGTCGATTTCCTTCCTTACGTATGCTAAAGATATCGCCAATGCCTGCCACCACTATTTTGCCTATCTTACACAAGCATTGTCCTTATCTACAGGCTGTTTCTTTGGGGTGCAGGAGCCCCGATTTTGACGTAACTGCAGCAAATGGTCATCTAAATCGAAAAGGGATCACATCAGCTTATTTGGGCCATGCCAAGTTTTATCAAGATGATGTTACCGAGTTCTTATACCAGCAGAGAGATTCATTGGAGATCCTCGAGTTTCATGGCAAGCTTGAAGTCAACAATGCTCGTTGGAAAATATCAGCTGATGGGCGAGTTCAACCTCATAGTACAAGTTTGCGGATTGAGAACGACTTGTCATCTCCAGTATCATTTACACGATTAGTCGACCTTCGGTTTACGGATATTGCTCCATATATACAAGATGTCCCTATGTTACAGTGGATTGTATGGAACGCACCCAGCCTCAACGCAATCGACATCCCTCTTTCATATTTTCAGCCTGACATTGCGAAAGCCATGATCAAATTGAATCATCTTAAAAGGGTACAAATCGTAGACAACGACATTAACAGCGAAATCCTCGATGATAACGACGATGGCTTACAGCAATTCTTTGATTATCATGTCGCTATGGGGGATCGCTCAACACTCGAACATGTAGTTGTGCAAATGGACTTTTTGGATGCGGCTAAACAAACATGGTTGTCTTTATTATCAAGATTGAGATGCCTCAAGATCCTCGAAATAGGCGGTGACAGAAGCGTCACGTATTGCACCATTGACGATAATTGCATACCCATCATAAAAAGGATACGCCGAGACTGCCACGCTCTTGAAAAGTTAATGGTTAATGGGAAGGTGCCAATTTGGTTATCGGACTCATAGAACCTTTGCATCATCATCATCATCATCATCCGAGTCATAGCTATTATAGTTATCCAAAGACGACCTTATTTATTGAATACCATACTTTATCTATAATTTAAACAATTGTTTTCATCCCATAATCGTATCTTTACATGAGCATCAATTGCATTCTTTCTTAGATTATGTACAACATGCTATCATTCATTCAATAAGCCATCTGATATTGCATCTTTTGCTTTATGTATGTGTGCATCATTTACTTGCTTAACGGGGTGGTTGGCAGATGATGGTTTAATATGGCAAGGTACATCCTGCTCTGTTCATGCTGGGATCATCGCACAAGATACACATCGCAGTAGTAGTTTATTACTTTGGATGCTTGTTGCATTAGAACCTTATTTCATTTATCGAGTTTTCTATTCTACCATCTTGTGTTGGCTTCTTTTGTGTGCTGAAATTCCACCGACAAATTCCGTTTTGTTTCGGCTTGACACCTCTGCTTTGTTCAACACCACACCACAACACACCCATACAAACAACGAATGACCTTGGAAGGCAACATTAGCCTGACCGAATTGCTCAAACGCCCAATCCCAACAGCTCAACATGGTGATGGCGAGAACCGAATTGCGTCAACAACCGAAGCTTTAAAACAAGCAGCCCACCGATTCGTTGATGTGCTCAATGAGCGTGCCATGCTTTTAGCCAACAGTGCCCAGTTTGATAGAGCGCTACATGATGCAGCAGCAATAAGAGCCATGTTACCAGGATCAGGGCTTGGATACTTGTGTACAGGAGACGTGTATTGTCAACAAGGGCATCATGCAGCAGCCATTTCCATATACGATCAAGGGCTTGAAGCAGCACCAGAATCAGATCCATATCACCAGCAACTCCAACAACAACGCGAGAAAGCCATAGCCAACAACAACAAACGCGTCGACTTTATCAGCAAGTTGCCATTGGATATCGTTATCACCAACATTCTACCAAGGATGAAGACGCTTTTATTTTCACATTCGTTATACGAGCCTCTTTATGTGTCACGTGCCTGGCAGAAGCGCATCTTGCAGCAACCTCACGGCTTGGACTTTCATTTTAACCAAGAGGAGGACAGCTTCAAAAGTGGTCATGATCAACTTGTCCGGTTTGCACCCTATGTTCAGAGCTTACAAGGTGGTATCATGGGCGACGTTCGTTTGGATGATCTCTTTACACGAGCACGCTTTTCCAATCTAAAAGAGCTGGTGTTACAGTGTAAGTGTGGATAATAGCATGTCGCATCGAATGATAAATGTGAATGACATTTTTCTTCTCTACTAGGTGATCCTGAAACTCCTCGCCTTCCATTGATCCATGGCCTGCAACTGATTGCTGATTCACTGACACGCTTGACCCTCTTCGAGTGCCGTGATATTCAATTACGTGATATCTTGGAGACATGTCCGAATCTCGAATTTCTCAAAGCCACGGATGTGGATGCTTTCATGCCTTTATCGCCTTCAACAATTTATCCCAAGATGAAGCACCTTGCACTTTACCAACAACCAACAAGAGCCCGCAAGCATGAGAATATGGTCGATGTCCTAAGACGATTCCCTTCTTTGCGTGTGCTGGAAATCTCGCCAATGCCCGATTCCAGTCTTTTGCCTATCCTACACAAGAGTTGTCCCTATCTACAGGTCCTTTTTTACGAGCTCGTGAGCCAGTATTTTGGAACAACTGCAACAAAGATTCATCCAAATCGAGAAGGGATCACATCAGCTTATTTGGGCGGTGACGACTTTTATCATCAAGACGACCTCATCGAGTTTTTGTGTGCGCAGAGAAATTCATTGGAGATCCTTGATTTTCGTGGCACGCATGAGATCGAGAATGCCTTGTGGGAATTGTCAACTGATGGGCGAGTTCTACCTCAAAGGAGTACAAGTTTACAAGAGAACAACGATCCTTCATCCTCAGTGACATTTACGCGACTGATCGACCTTCGGTTTATCGATATCAATCCATTGAGAAATATGCCTATGATCCTGTGGATTGTATTGAACGCTCCCAATCTCAACGCCATCCATATCTTCAATTCGCATTTTAAACCTGATGTCGCAAAAGCGTTGATCAAGTTGAAGCAGCTTCGAAAGGTAGAAATCGAACACAACGACGTACGAGACATGAACGACAATATCATCCACGACAACTACGAAGGAATCCATCAGTTCTTTGAATATCATGCTGCCTTGGGGGATCATTCGACACTCGAACATGTGGCTGTGCTCATGGACTCTTTGAATGCGTCTAAGCAAACATGGTTGCCCTTGTTACCACAATTGCGATGTCTCAAGATCCTCGAAATACGCGGTGAAGGTGCTTGTGGGGATTGCGTTATTGCCAAAAATTGCATACCCATCATTGAAAGGATACGCCAATACTGTCCGTCTCTCAAAAAGTTGGTCATTAATGGGGAGCGCAGAGTTTGATAGTGGTCCCCTAGAACCTTTGCATCATCATCATCGTCATCATCGTATGAGCCTTAGATTGTATAATAAAGATAACCTTATTTATATCGTCAAAAGTCCATATTGAATACCACACTTCATCTATAATAAATTCAACACTCATATTATCCCATGACCAGATCTTCGCATGAGCGTCAATTCCACTCTTTAATCAAAGAAGTACCCTTCTAGTATTATGTACAACAACATGAAATACATTCCTAAACACAGCCATCTAACATTGCATCTTTTGGTTTATGTATTATGGTGGCATTCATTTACTTGATTAATGGGGGCGGTTGGCAGTTGATGCTTTGAAATAGCAAGGTACACTGTTCTGTTCATAGTGGGATCATTGCATAAGCTACACATCGCAGCAGTAGTTTATTTCTTTGGATGCTTGTTACATAAGAACCTTATTCCATTTATCGCGTTTACTATTTTACCATCTTGAGTGGACGTCTTTTTGTGTGCTGAGATCCCACCAACAAGTCTTCTTCCGTTTCGGCTTGCTGCCTCTTCTTTGTTCAACACACACAGCAACATCCACAACGAATGACTAAGGAAGGCAACATTAGCTGGTCCAAATTACTCGAGAACCCCATTGTCACAGCTCAGCATGGTAATGACGGCAACCGCATTGCCACAGCAACCGAGTCTTTGAAGGAGACAGCCCACCAATTCGCCCAATTCCTTAGTGAACGTGCCAAGTTGTTAGCCAACAGTGCCCAGTTTGAAAGAGCGTTACGGGATGTAGCAGCCATAAGAGCCATATTACCAGGATCAGGACTTGGATACTTGTGTATGGGAGACGTGTATTGTCAGCAAGGACATCATTCCGCAGCCATTTCCATATATGATCAAGGACTTGAAACGGTACCTGAATCGGATCCATATTATCAGCAGCTTCAGCAGCATCGAATGGCAGCAGTAGCCAATAACGATAAACGCATCGACTTTATTAGCCAATTGCCATTGGATATTGTTATCACCCATATTGTACCAAGGATGGAGCAGCCGGCATGTTTGGATTCAGAGGTGTTGTATGAGCCTCTTTATGTATCACGTACGTGGCAGGAGCGTATCTTGCAGCAATCCAATGGCTTGGCTTTTGATTTTGGCAAAGAGACGACCACCTTCAAGAGGGGCCATGCTCAACTTGTCCGGTTCGCACCCTATGTTGAGACCTTGAGTGTTTGTTTGTTGGAAAACGTGCATTTGGATGATCTCTTTTCTCGTGCACACTTTTCCAATCTAAAAGAACTCGATATCTTTTGTAAGTGGCGATGGGGATGATGACATTTCACGGAGTGGATCTCGTAGTCCAAGTGAACGTCTTGGGAGCGACCTGTCATCTCCATTATCATTCACACGATTGGTCGACCTTCGATTCACGGATATTGATCCATCTTCAGGTGTGCCTATGATACTGTGGATCGTATTGAACGCACCCAGCCTCAACGCTATCCATACCTATATTATACATTTTCGGCCTGATGTCGCAAAAGCCATGACCAAATTGAAGCATCTTCGAAAGGTACATATTGAGAAAGACCACAGCGTCATCATGCTGAATTACGATGGCATCCGCCAATTCTTTGAATATCATGTTTCCATGGGGGAGCACTCAACACTCGAGCATGTCGTTGTGGATATGAACTTTGTGGATCCGTCTCAAGAAGAATGGTTGCCGTTGTTGTTACGATTGAAATCCCTCAAGATTTTTGAATTACACGCTGATGACATCGCCGAAGAGTGTCATCCCATCTTTGGAAGGCTGCTTCAAGACTGCCCCACTATCGAAGAATACATCGTCACTGGAGACCACTACGTTATATAGATGTGTCACCAGTAGTGCTGTGACATTATCGAGAAGAATAAACAACACCCATACTAGGTCTTATTCCTTGAATGTGTCTTTCTTTATTCATTATACCCATACCCTCATCAGATTATGTGCAACATGCAATTGATCTTCTCAATAAAGTCTAACGACGTTGAATCTTTAGCGTGTTTCCTTGCGTAATGGGGGTGACTGGCAGTCGATATTGTGGGGATGACTTGGTATGACTTGGTATGGCAAGGCAAACCTTGTCTCTCTAATATGGCGATACCACGCGGTCATGATAGGGCTACCATACACGCTACACGTCGCGTCTTTGGAATGATTTCTTTGAATGCTTTATAAAAAGGATCTCATTTCATTTATCTGGTTTCCTGTTCTACCATATGAGTTGAGCGGGTTGACAACAACACAAGTTGAGTTGCCAAGCTGACTTTTGTATGCTGAAATTCCAACGACAAGTTGTGTTCTGTTTCGGCTTGACACCTTTCCTTTGTTCAACACAAACCACAGCACACCACAGCGAATGGCAACTATAGAGGACATTAGCTGGACTGAATTACTGAAGAACACCATCGTCACAGCTCAACATGGTAATGGCAGCAACCGAATTGCCACGGCAACCGAGACTCTGCAACAAACAGCACAGCGATTCGTCGAGGTGCTCAATGAACGTGCCAGGCTTTTAGCCAACAGTGCTCAATTTGATACAGCGTTACGTGATGCAGCAGCTATAAGAGCCATATTTCCTGGATCAGGACTTGGATATTTGTGTAATGGTGACATTTATGGGCAACAAGGACACTACGATGCAGCAATTTCCATATACGATCAAGGGCTTGAAGCAGTACCTGTTTCGGATCCATGTTATCAACAGCTTCAGCAACATCGAATGACAGCCGTATCCAGCAACAACAAACGCGTGGATTTTATCAGCCGGTTGCCATTGGATATTGTCGTCACCAACATCTTACCAAGGGTGGATCATTTGTACTGTTCAAATACACCATGCGAGTTTCTTTACATATCACGTGCATGGCAGGAGCGTATCTTGAGGCAACCCAACGGCTTACGATTCAACTTTGGCTATCGATGGGTTCGCTCATTAGAAAAGGACCATACGCAGCTCATCCGATTTGCACCCTATGTCCAAAGCTTACAAGGGGGTATTACCGACGCTCGTTTGGGTGATCTGTTTTCTCGAGCACGCTTTTCTAATCTAAAGAAACTGGATATAAAATGTAAGTGTGGATGATGGATGGCATACCACGTGATAGGATGATGAAACCATTAATGCATTGCTTATATTATTAGGTGATCCTACAACACCTCGCCTTCCCTTCATCCATGGATTACGATTGATTGCCGATTCACTTACACACTTGACCATCTCTGACTGCCCTGGCCTTCAATTACGTGATATCCTGGAGACATGTCCCAATCTTGTATTTTTGAAAGCAACGAATGTGGATGCGGTCATGCCTTTGTCGTCGCCATCAAGCTATCCCAATCTCAAGTATCTTTCACTTGACCGACAAGTGCAACGAACCCTCGAGCATGAAGATGTGATGGATGTCCTAAAACGACTTCCTTCTTTACGTATGATGGAAATCTCGCCAATGCCCGACACCACTTGTTTGACTATCCTACACAAGCATTGTCCTTATCTACAATTCATTTCTTTCGAGAGCTGGATACCGGATTACGGCTTACTTACAGCAAATGTTGATCCAAATCGAAAAGGCGTCATATCAGCGTATTTCAATGGCGACCGATTCTATTATCAAGATGACCTGATTGAGTTTTTGTACGCACAGAGAAATTCATTGGAGATCTTCAGATTTGGTGGCGTGCATGAAATCGAGAATGCCTTTTGGGAATTATCAGATGATGGGCGAGTCAAACCTCATAGTCCAAGTGAACATCTTAAGGTCGACCTGTCATCTCCATTTTCATTTACACGCCTGAAACACCTTTCTTTTACGGATATGTTTCCATATAAAAATGTGCCTATGATCCTGTGGATTGTATTGAATGCTCCCAAACTCAACGCCATCGAGATCCCTAATTCCCATTTCAAGCCTGAGGTCGCAAAAGCCTTGAACAAGTTGAAGCATATTCGAAAGGTAGAGATCTCACACAACGATGTACACGACATGGACGACAATATCATCGACGACGACTACGAAGGAATCCACCTGTTCTTGGAGCATCATGCTGCTTTGGGGGATCAATCGACACTTGAACATGTGATTGTGCAAATGGACTTTGTGGATGCGTCTGAACAAACATGGTTGTCGTTATTACCACAATTGAGATGTCTCAAGGTCCTCGAAATACGCGGTGAAGGTGCTACTGGGGATTGCACCCTTGCCAAAAATTGCACACCCATCATTGAAAGGATACACCGAGAATCCCCCGCTCTCGAAAAGTTAATTATTAATAGAAAGTGCAGAGTTGGTAGGCGGTCTCATAGAGTCTTTGCATCATAGTCATCCGAATCTTAGATGTATCACAATTAGAGTAGCACCGTTATCTAAAGACGACCTTGTTCCTTACCCAAAGCCCACACTTCATCCCTTATTAAAGAAAACTCTCCTCGGATTATGTACAAAATGCATCTTTTATTTTATGTATAATGATGGCATCATTTACTTTGCTTAATAGGGTGGTGGGATGGTACACACATGCTGGGATTATCATACAAGTTATATGCATTCTTCGAGATTTCTATGCTACCAACTTGAGTTGAACGGGCTGACACCATGCTGGATTCAAACGACAAGCCATCTTCTGTTTCGGCTTGAAACCTCTGCTTTGTTTCATACGCACACCTCAAGTCGAATCACCATGGAAGACAACATTGACTTGGCCGAATTGGTGAAGCCCTCCATCCTCACAGCTCAACATGGCAATGGCAAAAAACGAATTGCAGAGGCAACCGAGTCTCTTCAGCAAGCGATGCACCAATTCGTCGAGCTCCTTAATGATCGTGCAAGGCTGTTTGCCGACAGTGCTCAGTTTGATAGCGCCTTACAGGATGCAGCAACCATACGAACCTTATTACCAGGATCAGCGCTTGGATACTTGTGTACTGGATATGTGCATTGTCAACAAGGATGTTATGCAGCAGCGGTTGCCATGTACGACCAAGGGCTTGAAGCCGTACCTGAATCGGATGCCTATTATAAGCACCTCCAGCAACACCGATTGACAGCAATTGCCAACAATAGTAAGCGGGTCGATTTCATCAGCCGGTTGCCATTGGATATCGTTGTCACCAACATTCTACCAAGGGTGAAGCCCAAATGCTATTCTGAATCATCATCACCATGCGAACACCTCTTTGTGTCTCGTACCTGGCAGAAGCGCATCTTGCAACAACCTGATGGCGTTAACTTTGATTTTGGCCAAGAGGGACGCACCTTCAAGAAGGGTCATGATGAACTTGTTCGATGCGCATCCTACGTTCAGAGCCTATCTGGTGCTATTACAGGGGAGGTTCGTTTGGATGAACTCTTTTCTCGTGCACGCTTTTCCAATCTTAAGCAACTCGACTTAAACTGTAAGTATGCGTGGCGTATATAGTATATACATGATATGGATGAAATGACTAACATCTTGGTTTCTATAGGCGCTTTTTCCATTCCTCATCGTCCACTCTTAAACGGCTTGCGAATGATTGCTGATTCACTCACACACTTGGTCATTGATGGATATCCTTGCGATATCAAATTACGCGATGTCTTGGAATCATGTCCCAACCTTATATTGTTGACAACGGAGGAAGTGGCCGCTGTTTTGCCTTCTGATGCATGTTATCCCAAAATCATGCACCTTGCTCTTCATTCCATATCAGACACAGCTCCCAGTCATGACCATATGGATGATCTCCTAAGCCGCTTCCCTTCTTTGGTGTCATTCCAAATCACCCCAATGCCTGAATCAAGTGTCCTGGCCCTTCTACCCAAACATTGCCCGCATCTGCAAATCCTTTATTTCGGAAGCTTGGAGTTTGACTCCAGCAAACTGATTACTCATCCTGGTCGTAAAGGAATCACAATGGCTGAGATATCTGGTGAAGACATGTATCATCAAGATGACCTGATCCGGTTCTTGCACGTGCATCAAAATTCACTTGAGAGGATTGTAATTGACGCCGAGGTTGATGTTAAGAATCGTGCATGGAAGTTACAGCACGAGCAAGTTATACCCGAAGATGAAGAAGATGCACTTTTATGTTCTGAAAACGACCCAACGCAATCAGAAACTTCGTTCCCGCAGCTGGTGGATATGGTGGTTTCCGATCCAGTACCATCGAAAAGCCAAGCTCTTATCACCAGGATCATATCGAATGCGCCCAATCTCAAATCGATCAGCCTCCCCCATTCACATCTTGAAGAACCTCATATAGCCGACGCTATGATTGACTTGAAGCATCTTTCCAAATTGAGGGTCACGCGGTCCAAGTCGAGAAATTTCGTCATTGGTGGCGTCGCTAAATTCTTGACATCTCATATTACAAGGGGTCTCCTTTCAACGCTGGAAGAATTGACTCTACACGCGAACCAAGCCATGCTTGAAGTATCGTGGATACCTTTGGTTTCCAATCTGCATTGCCTTAAGAATTTGGAATTGGTCTCCCCTGACATTTCTCGAGAGTGGTTCTTTATACTGAAACAGATAGGCCAAGGATGTCGCTCCCTTGAAAGTTTAAAGCTCGGTACCAAGCGTTGCAAATTGGTTGATGGTAGCATCGAGTCCCTGGATGAACTTATGGAGGAGTTGCAAGAAGATATACCAAAGGTCATTATCAAATAAAGTAGGAAACGTATGATAATGCGTCGCTTCATGATCACCACGTATATATATTCGGTCATGTTGAATAGTCTCCTTTTTGCATATCATCATTCCCACTTTTTCCTCCCCAATTATCAATGAAAGCAAGTCATTCATATCACCCATCCCATACTGTACTATTGAAGCTGAAGAGAATTAGTTAAAGAGTGTTTTCTTTATAAACAAACAACGAGGGGGTAGAAAAAAATGAGCTCACGGAGAAGAACGAGAACAATGAATCCCATAAATGATTATCACCCAACATGAACACATGGCAAATCCTTATTGTATGCTCCTCATCCATATGTAACACCTCCCCTGTAACCAGTATTCTCCTCGTTGTGAAGCTACCCCATCACTTGATCCATCCAAAACCACGATCCTCACAATGCACTCCACGTCTTGTAAATTCATGGTATTGCCAATATCCAACCCTTACCACCATGATTCCCGCAATGCAATAGTGTATGTCACGAAGCAGATGTATTACCGATTTGAACGTTGTCATGATACAAAGGGGCTACAGTACTGGTAAATGGATCATCCATGGTGGTCATAGTCTCGCTGTTGCACATGGTGGTGGAATAGCGTCCATGGGCCATGGGATGCTGCCGATAAAAGAAAAGGTGTGTGTGTTGGCAAGAGGACGTTCGTTTCAACCAGCAGGTCCAACCATCCAATCCATCATCCTCAGCATGATCCACTTGAATTTTGTCATAGTTGATCCAAAAGCTATAGCCCTATCCAAGCACCATTGATAAGTTGAAGTTCGTCACCTTCTCTGGTACCAATCACGTCATGCTCTTGAAGAAAAGTGATTGCTGCTTCCGATATCCTTGTCATTGCGTATCGTCCAAAAGACCTTATGAAACTGGTTCTTCGAACACGAGCGCCAATTGCCACATAAATGACACATCATCATCCATCCTAAACCATGATGATCATGTTAAAAAGATCCCTTTCTCTACCAACATCCCCAATCCATTTCATGTTTACCTTGGTACATTGATGTATTATCCGGAAAATTGCTATCCCGAGTAACCAAATGGATGTCGCGAAGCTGTTTGACGTGATGCCCAATGCAGAGTGCTGCTGTTGAGAATAAAAGGGTATGCTGGATCCAGTCATCAAGGCATTATGAACCGCAACGCGTGAAAAGGAGTAGCTCGTATAATGCAATATGGCCTTATCCACCAGTGAGCTTGTCAAAGGTCGTAATCTGGAAGAAGCGACGCGTTCTTGCCGTGTTTATTGAGGCGTTCAGGCAAGTGGGTTATTCAGTTGGCGTAATGTGTTGTGTCATGTGCTGTTGAAGGAAGAGAGATGTGTCGAACAAGTGGTTGTTGCAAGTGGCATTGGGAGCAAGTGGTGGGTTGAGACGAGGTTGGTGTTGAGAAGAAGGCTGGCCAAGACCCGCATGCCACGTCGGCTGTTTTTATCCCCTCTGTCAAAGTATGGTCGTCATGTGACACAAGCACATCATCATCCCAAAGCATGCACAAGGGAAAGACATCGCTGTGTTGATCGATAGAGACGAGTCATCTATACCATGGATATGAATTCATCTCCATACAGTATTGTACCTGGAAGACCCCTTATTATGATGTGTCGGCCTACGCTTCTTAAAATGACAGGTCACCTGATAAATCGTGTAGCAAGATCACTCCTTATGTAGATAGATGTTCATGCAAAATAAAGTCGTATATGTGGACGCCATCATTTTCTTGCAACATGAACAAAAATAAGATCTTTATGGCATAGGGTTTCATATTCAGAATAAACGTCAACAGTGGATTGGTCGCTTACAAGCACATACATGTATCAAGAACACTTGCCACCACATGCACATTGCGTATTTATTAAACGGTTCCATTGATCGACCAATGAGCTTCAGCATGATAGCTCCACCGAATGAATTAGCGTCTATGGAGGGGGCGTTCAAAATACATACTCAGTACAGGGGATCCAGAAAGTACCCGCATATCAAGCAGTGCAACTTGCAAACGAGATGGCTTAAATATTACTTGTATCTTTACTCACGTCAATGACAACATTACATAGCGATGGTCATCGGCTGGTATAAGATCATTAGATGTAATGAAGTCTCTGGCAGTGTGGGAGCACGATAAAGTGTATATGTACCTTGCTCTTTTCGATAGCAACATCTTTGCAATACGCAGAGGCTGAGTTGTTGGGCGAACTCTATTCCGTATGATAAACGTAGAAATAACCGCTGCAACTCTTTAACTCCTTAATATGCATCAATGTACGTAGGCGTGGAGCTGGCAGTAGATTCTCTTGCTCTCCGTACAAGATTAAGGTATCCATGACAACGTTCGTACACCTCTTCTCCTTACGATGTTGTGAAAATACGCCTCATAGATCTCCTTAAACTTTGAAATTCAACGACTTTATAAATGGTAGCGTTGAGGAGCATACATCATCAGTCGCACTCAACCAATGATGAACTTTAAGCTTTCCGTTTTTATTACCCTTGCCCTGTTTGCCCTTACGGTGTTGTCTCAGCAGCAAGACCCCAATGCAGTCCAAGGAAGCAACCCGAACACTGCATCTCCTGCTCCAGATACTCCAAAAGATCCTATACTTTCTTTTCTTAAGAAAGCTCTTTCTGCTTACACTAAAGGTGTCCGTGGACAATTTGACGATATGCATAAACAGTATACAGAGGACAAAACCATGACCGCATACAACGCATGCATGAAGAAATGTGACCAAGAACCAGGTTATCCAATTGGGTGTTACAATCGTTGTTCCTTAGAACGTGCAGATGCAAGACGGCAATGACCAATCGAGGGATCAGCAGTAAAAGATACGGTGCCCTTACAAGTCGCTTGCCGTTTAATTAGATTGTATGTACGTAATTGACCTTGTCATTAAACTACTTGAATATTACATCAGCTGAATAATCGAGGGTCAATGTTTGTTTCGCTGATGGTAATCAATCCTACATACATCCCACAATCAGCCCAAAGTTCTAGTGATTGTCAACGCTGAAAATGTAACCTGATGTACGTATCCTGGTATCGGGTTTGCTGATGCCTTTGTGGTACCAGACTTCCTCCCACCATTCTTCATAAGTACATTTCCACCTGATGATGGTAGCTGATCTTCTACGATACTTGGCCACTCATCAAATGCGAAGCTGAGAGCTTGCCATAAGTCTCTTAAATTGTAGCTTCGATTTCATGTATGGCATAAATCATTGATCGGAGACTATTGCCATCATCCAATAATGGCACCTCTCAAACCACTTGTTGTGCTCAAGTGGCACGAAAAGAGACATTGTTAGAGAATGTGAAAAGAAAAGTCGTTGGCATTATCATACGTAGCCGATAAGCATAGTACACGACTGTAAATATTCGTCGTCATGGCAACCCAGCACAGGGGTGACATAACAGCTTCCCATATCTATCGCAACGGCTTCATCACCTTCACCATCCATCAAGTTACCATGACCTTCGACATTAATAAATACAATAGCTATGATGTTGACAGGTACATAAATGTGCCACTTTATTTTCATCCATGTATCACGTATCCATTTACGATTCCTTGATCCATCCACCCAAAAACCACAATCCTCACAATGCCCTCCATGTCTTGTAAATCCATGATATCATCAATATCCACCATCACTGCCATGAGTCCTGCATGCAATTTCTTGAATGAAATATGTATTGACGTCTTTTTTATAGTCAAAGGTTTGCTTTAAAAGGAAGTTTGCCACCCAGCTCCCGATGCATCGATCCAACTGTAGGCCTAGCGTAGATGCATGTTGCTCATACATTAAGAGAGCTCTCATCCGTAACAGGGAAAGATCCTTAGCCTCCCATGTACGGTTCATGGCATCGATCCCTGCAGAGGAGGCTTGCTTGACAAAGTCATAGAAAATTTCATCATGGCGAGGTCCTGTGAGCTTATCATATGCTTGATGATCATCGTATAACAAGGACATAATATGTTCCTTATTAATCCGGCCTTCGGGACGGCTAATGGTCCGACCTTGGAAGGCATTAGGAAACACTGGCTAGCACCTGGGATGGCTTGAGGTAGCGCCTGTATATCTTGCTGAGCCTGCTGGTTGTCGGATTGCTCATCGACATCCCCGTCTGAGATAAAACATTGAGATTAGCTTCAAAGTATATAAAGTATCTTCGTTCGCATACCTGTTTTCTTCGCCTGAATACAAAGGGATGTCCCAAATTTGCTGAAAGAAGATCGAATAGCTTCTTCGATAGTTTGCCAGCGAACATCGACAAGTGTGCTCATTCGCGCTATAGGTGGTATGTTGGTATGTTGGTATGGATCAATCATCTTCGCTAACATCATATACCTTAAGCAAATCAATCTCCTCACTTGCACGTAGCTTGTTGATGTAATGCCGTAACAATGTTGGATCCACAAGAGTGCTGTCTCCAAGAGCCCAAAAATCACTAGAAAGGTGGTAGACCGAATTTAGACCGAGGAGATGGTTCAAGTCTTCTAATGAAGCTGCTCTTTTGCTTTCCCTTCGTTACCTTGGAAACGCTTTTTGATTTTGGCGTTGAGCTTACTACGGCCTATGGATTCGAGAAGGAATTAACATCACGACAAATGAGGGATCACCAATAGGTACCTTTCTTCCACCTTTGCTCCTTATGGATAACCGAACTGAACATCAGGCGCAGATTGGATCCTGTTCATGGCTTGCCGATTGCGATGAAAAGTCGCCCCTTGCATGCCTTGAACGTTGCCCGCCATAGAGTGATGCATCACCTTGCTTTAATATCAAGAATTAGTATAGTCATTGATTACATTTGGTATTGGACAATGACCAAACACTTACAGTTCTAAGGGCCGGATGATGTAGCTAGCATAACCTTTTGTGTCCACAATGTGCTTTTGAGCTGGGAAGATAGGCGACCCGTGTTAAGCTGGTTGATGATCATCAACACCACCTTATGGTTGATAATCATGGGGAC